AACCACCAAGCATGAGAGCATGTTCTAGTACACCCCCGAAACAAAATCAAGACTTTGTAAAAGAGCATAATAGGACCCCTTTAAGAATTTTGACTAACTAGTGGTTAACCAAGTGGTAATCAGGCTTACTTTTCGAATTTAAATTAGACCAATCTACCATTTTATGTCGCCTAACTGAATAAAAAAATAATAATAAATTAGCAGTCTTAAAGAAAAAAAATGTAGTTTAAGTAATTTATGGAACCATTAAAGAACTGTATGTTTAAAAATAGATAGGATACAATTATCTAAATAATAATTGCATGAATTTAGTCATCCCGAGGCCCCTGGTTGAGAACCACTGTTCTCTACATACTATGTTGTTAACCTATTAGCAGTCATGTTCATCATGTTCATCTAAATTAATTTAGTAGAAGAGGGCACTAACCAACAGAACATGTTTGCATGTATCATATCTCATTATTATATATTACTTAAAAGAAACATAATCCTTGAAGACGAAATTTAAGAGCCTGTCTTGGCCTCAGGTACCCATGAGAGGAATAAATAACACCCAAACTCTTTCAACATGCTTTTTAAAATTTTATTTGTTTAAAGTTGGTACAAAATGGTAAATCAGAAACATTCTCAGCATTTGCCTTTATGCATTCTGATTTTTCAGAACACGCACTCTCTCTCACACATACTAGTATCATGCAGACCGGTTAGACCAAAGTGACAAAAGACATGTCAAAGAACTCAAACAAATAAACAGAAAATGAAAAGGAAAAAAGCCCTTTACACACGCCGTCTCTACAGAGACAAACAAGCGATGCCCTTAAAAAGTCAAATGTGTCTAACAAATCTAGTGTGTTTGCTTAATACTTGGAAAAAACACACACAGGAGGACATGGAGAATTATTTTGCTAATGAAGCATCCTCAAAAAAAAAAAAGAGGTTTACAGGTGATACAGGAGTTATGTCTGTGGCATGATTAAGCTTCATATTCGCTCGTAGCACTTTGAGCAGAGTGTGGTCTAGATCTCCCCACACACAACAGACCAGATCAGCTGTCTGGATCTGAAATACTTCATGAACACATGCCCTGGTGGTCAGGATGGAGGAAACTCCCTGAGGTGAAAACTGCACCAGTATGCCGTGTCTGGGTGCTGTTCAGAACAGCAGGAACTGAATGATCTCTGGAAGTCGAGCTTGGACTCCTGAGGCAGAGAATCCACTTCACACACAGTCCTGGGATTCTCGGCCCTTCAGACTCAATGAATGCTCTCCAGATTCTTACATGTAACACAGTACAGCACATTTAACATTCGCACAGTACATACGACAGCATGTACATGAAATCAAACAGTCAAAAATGTCATTACAAATTCAAATATATTAGCATACTCATACACATATACATACACATAGAGGTTCGTTCTTTGAGGGGACCTAAAATTCACTGAAAAGAAAAAAAACAAAACAAAACCTACCTTTCAAACTCATTCAAACTAACTCTTCCACAGAACAAAAAAAAGTTTGTTTAGAAAGAATGTCAAAGCTGCTTTTTTCCATAGAATGTAAGTGAATGGGCAACAACGATTGTAATATGATTTGTGAGGAACAGACTGACATTTAAGCTTTTATCACATTGTATGGAAAAGAGCAGCTTGGACTGCTATGCATATCTCTTGTCGTCTTCCACAGAATAAGCAGGTAATATGGCTTTTGAAAAACATACACCACTGTTCAAAAGTTTGAGGTCGGTAGGATTTTCGACATCTCGTAAGCTCTCAAAAGCTGCATTTATGTGATTACACTTTCATAGTTTTAATATTTTAAATGTAATTTATTCCTGTGATGGCTAAGCTGCCATTTCAGCAGCTATTACTCCAGTCTTCAGTGTCACATGATCCTTCAGAAATCATTCTAATATGCTGATTTGGTGCTCAGGAAAGATTTCTTATTGTGAATGTTAAACATTTTACTGCTTAATATTTTTGTGGAAATCATGCGTTTTTGTTTTTTTTTGATAAATAGAAAGTTGAAGATAACAGCATTTATTTGAAATAGAAATCTGTTGTAACAAATGTCTTTCCTGTCACTTTTGAACAATTTAATGTGTCCTTGCTGAATAAAAAAGTATTTATTTATCTTAAAAAAAAAAAAGAAAGAAAAGAAAAAAATCTTACTGACCCCAAACTTTGAATGGCATTTTAAGTATTAACTATTTAGTTTCTTGCTCATTGGGAGTGTCATTTATTTTGAAAATATTGTTTAATATCGTGTTTTAAACTTAACAAGGAAAACATGACCCTTTCTACTGGAATCAAGGTCCCAGTAGCTGTTAGGTACAAAACTAATCACATCTCAATTTGCAAATTAAGAGAGACTAAAACTGACCTATAAAAGAGGTAAAGGGATTTCCAGAGGTTAGTGCTGCTTTTTGCACTATACGGATGGAAATTACTTCCCAGCGTACCCAACATATCCAAACAAGGGTAGTCATCTACGCAGAAAAGGCTCAAACAGAAAACAGGGACCTTACAAAGACACTTAAGCACACACAATTTTGCGAACACTCGCTGACAGGGCATGTGGTTTTGGCCTATGCTTAAAGGGAGGTGAAGATTTCTTAGGCCTCTTGAGCTTTCTGGAGTTCAGCGAGAACATTTCTCTGAGCATGACCTCATTGGTTCACTATTGCAGAGAAGATTTCACTCACACAATCATATGTAACCTACATATATGAGAACAAATTAGGAAAAATCTGAATGCTATAGCGAAGCCAACAAATGGAAGAGACTCACAATAAAGAGAAAACAAAAAACAGCTACATAGAAATTAACTCCCCAAAAACACGCCTATACATTTTTATCTTTGATAAACATTGATAGTGTATAAATAAAAAACATTAAGTATTTTTTAAGTTAGACATATATGGAAAACTGTTATCTGGAATCTAAATGTAGTTGCTTTATGAAATGCTGTGAAATATTGAATGGAGCACAGATAGACTCGTCTGTAAGCTCATCATAAACATACATGGATGGTGTATTGCCTCTCTAATGCAGAGTATTACTGTTAATTAGCAAATAAACACTGTGAACATCACCATCCGTAACGGCCACGCCCACCGCTTCAAATGACGAGCAGAGCCACCCAATCAGAATGCTCAAATGTGGGTGTGCATGTGCTCTTCTGTTCTGCAGAGGTCTATTCCTTTTTTTTTTTTTTTGCTTTTATAATCATTTTATTTGAAAATATATCTTTTTGTTTTTCTCTGTATTTGAAAAAGCAGTATAAAGGTCACTTACAAACCAGAAAGGGAGGAAAAAAAACAGTCTGAGAGCGCAGAAAATTTGAAAGAATTGCCTGACTAATGTTTGTCAAATGGGGTTCCTGGGGTAAAAGGTCATAGGCAGGTGTGTTTAGTCCACAGGCCCCTGGAAGATCAGTCTGATGTATCCCTGCTCGCCGCTGAGCTGCTGGGCGCAGAAAGGACAGGCGGCGTGGAAGGTGTGTGTTCCGTGAGGAAGAGGGATTTGAGTCCAATATGCCGCTGTTTTTTCTGAGCACACGTGGCCGCACGGACTGAATGCGTGAGTAGGAGGGGCCGCATCCAGATAAAACCCTGCCTCGCAGCCCAGCCACAGTGGCACGTATGGCCCACGAGCGCGGCACATGGGACATTCCCGCTCACGGCCCTCCCTACCGTCTCGCTCTGCGTCGCGGTTACCCCAGTTGTGGTAGCCGTGAACGTGACCGCAGTTTAGGTAGACCCAGGGTTGCTTCTCATCCACGATGTCCTTCCGCCGCATGCTGGGGAAGGCGAGGGTGTTGAAACCCACGGGACACTGGGGGCGAGCGGCGTTCAGCTCTTGCCGGAGCGCCTCCAGGTGTTTGACGGTGGGAGTGCGGGAAAGCCCTTCAGCAGTACGCCACAAGAGAGTTGCTCCGCAGAGATCGATCAGAGAGCCATCCACTAACTCTTGAGTCTCATTCTCCACCTACAGAGCGAAAGAGAAGAGGACTTCATTATAAATAGCGCCAATATTCATGCTTTTAAAGCAGCACTATGTAACTTTTTCTGTGTTCAAAATTTGCAAAATGTATATAATGAGCGAGTACATCATGAATTCATCTTCCAAACTGCGTTTTTGTCTTATTCCGAATCACTACGGTACACTTATAATAAGTACTTCTATTTGGACTATTGTAGCCTGGGTCGTCACCGCTGCGGAGTAACCCATACCTGCGTGAATCACCATAGACATAAATTAGAGAAGTAGATCCGGTTGGAATGTTCTTCCGCGGGATGTGTGCAGTTCTGTTTATTAACCGCTAGAGCGCCAAAAGTTACATAGTGCTGCTTTAACACAAATGATGCATGATTAAATCAAAACAAAGGCAGATCTTATCAACAGATGAAAGTTTGCCTGCAGGGGGCAGTAAAGCCCCAACACTCCCTGTATAGTAATGATTCATTCATTATAAAAAGAGTCAAAAATGACAATAATATAACCATTTACTGCTTAAGACATCTGTCTTAAGTAGGGCTGCACGATAAATCGCATGCGATATTTAATGCGTATCTTATCAGTAAAGCCGGTTCTGTAATCGGCGGTAAATCTCCATCAGCTGCGGGCTTTCACATTGAGCAGCATTAATTACACAGAGCCGTTGTTCACTGACGAGCTGCGCAAAACATGTGCAAAATATGAACGTGGTTTTGCGCTGCTCGTCAGTGAACAACGGCTCTGTGTAGTTAATGCTGCTCAATGTGAAAGCACGCACGTGAT